CGTTCTATTTGGGACTCGTCAGCTGGATGTGCCTGTATCCCAGGGTGAACATCAACTATGAGATGCAGATACATCCAGCTGACGAGTCTCAAATAGAACGAAACGCGAATCAATCTGGACTCAACTACTAGCCACTACGCATCTTTGTTTATAGTTAAGGATTAGTTTAAGAACAAAAATGAGATAGATTTCCCTTACATGTATAGTTTGAAATTCTCTTTGTATATGATAGTCTCTAAAGAAGCAAATAAAAATGGAAACATGTCACTGAACAGTTACGGTTGGTTATGTAAAAAACTTCTAAATTGCAAGTCAATCAAATCGCCTAATTCCATCCAAATAAATGAATTGACAAACGTGTAATAAAATGAAATATGTTTTCAGTCAATTACAGTTTTATAAAATTAATCAATAAAGGGTTATGAAGATTGTTCGATCTCAATTAAAATCATGAATGGATCAATGTTAGAACACCATTGAAAACTTAGAAGCACAGGAAAGCCATTTCGTTCTAGTGTGGGACTCCTCAGCAGTATGCAGACACTATCTCGCAACTGTGACTCCAGTGCAGGGCTTTCGGTCTCGTATCCCAACGCTTAACCTCTAAATTAATGAGCCAGCCACTATCCAATGATGTTATTCAATTTAACTTTAGAAGAAAAAAAATCAATTGAATATTTCTCTTTTCATTTTGTCAAAATGAACTTATTGTCTTGATTTTACTTAAAAAAAATCGCTTATTTTTGGTGTATTGATGAAACATTCTTTGAGTTATTTAAAAGTTGAAATAATTGTACCTTTTTTGGCATTCTTTAGGTTATTCAATATACCCTGCATTTTGTATAGTATTTTATAAGTACTGTCTTCTCTCTTTGTCTCTCGCTCGCTTAGAAATAACCTAGACGGTAATGAGACACTTTGATTGATCATTTAGTTGTTTATACTCAGATCATGTAAAGATTATGTTCGACCTGGATAGTTTGCTTTTGATTATGGCCCTTCTGTCTTGTATATATCAACAAATACAGATAATGACAAATAGTGTAACAGTAGTCTCTGTGGCTGTAGAACTCAACATACACAAGGGAAAAAACAGCATCCTCAAATACAACATAGAAACATCAATTCAATCACATTTGATGGAGAAACTCTGGAACAGATGGGAGCATTCATGTATCTGAGTAGCATCATCGATGAATGTGGAGGATCTTATGCACATGTACAGGTGAGGATCAGCAAATCAAGGGAGGCACTTCTATGACTGAAGAACATATGGAACTCAAAACAACTGTCTTCAAGCCAATATCAAACTTTGAATCTTCAATACGAACGTCAACACAGTTAGCTATATTGGAGGGAGCTGGAACTTGGAGAACTACTACAACCATCATCAACAATGTAAAAGTATTTATAAACAATTGTCTGGACAAGGTACCAAATATTTATCAGCAACTGCCTACTGTGGGAGAAAACAAACCAATTTCTAGCTGAAGAGGAAATTAGGAAAAGATGTTGGAAGTGGATAAGACATACACTGTCGAAAATTATCAAACTGAATCACGAGGCAAGCACTAACTTGAATTCTTCAATGGAAATAGGAGATTAGAAGGCCAGCGAACACACTGTGTCGGGAATTGCATGCAGATATGAAGAGTGAATAGCAAGTAGGAGCAAGTGGGAAGGATTTTCGAGAACAGAGTTTGATGAGGAATGCTGGTGAGCGACCTATGCTTCTCGACGAGGGATAACAGTCGTAAGTAAATAACTAAGTAAAATTTTGCTTTAACTATTCATCTGACTATGCTCAGTTCTCTGAAACAATTTAGATTCCTTTGTGTTAGACAATTTTGAAATAGTAAAAGTTGTTAATACACTTATGGTATTTATATTTAAAGTGAAGTATTTGGAACAGATTTTGTGACCTTTGAACCTTTAGAATACTCTAAATATTGGATTTAATTTGAACAAATATCAATTTGTTGTACTTGTCTTGCGAATCTCAGTCCTTCACTTACATTGATTAGAAATATCCGACCTTATTAACAGTGGTTAGTAATGAGATCCAAGACACAGTTGACACTCGTAAGCTGAATATAATTGTCAAATACCAGTGCTAGGGTTTGCATTAATACTCAAACCAAGTGTCTAAAATTTCAAACACCGATGAATTATCCTTAATATCAACAGTAGTGTAATACAAGTCCTTACGAATACCATTACTTTTCCATCAATGTATGGTTTTACTGATGCAGTCAGTATCAGATAATAGTTGCAGCAATGGTGACATGTTTACAGATTAAGTAAGGATTCCTACGTGGTTCATATTTTATTTGTATCCATGGGAATGAAGTAAATAATGCTTTATTCAAAACCTCCTTTTTAGACAGATAAATCGATAATCGTGTGTTCATCAGTGTATAAGCTCGATGTAAATTCTCGAAGTACTGATTAATAGTTTTGACTGCTTGGGTCCAACCAATTAGGGAATGAGACTGGATATTCGTCATTGTCTATCACGAATTGGTCAAAGCTGGGAAGATAGAACGCTGTATTCCAATTTAATGGTCGCTGTGATAGTTTGGTGGTCATATACACTTCCATAGTTTACCTACTCATTAAATCTCAAGCGATAAAATTGTCTTGAGAAGTTGAAAGGTAAAAGCGGAGATCCGGAGCTTAAATCAGATAGATAGAAACTTTATTAACAGTACATGGAAACGCCTGATTTCAAACCAATGGTGATTCAGGATAATAAAGGAGTTAACTATATATAGACTTACGCTGGCCATCAGCTATCATGATAAAACAACCAGCATTGATCAACCACTTCATTTTAAGCACTGAATGGGGATCATGACTCTTATGCGAACGAAAGAAAATAGTTTTTTGCCTTAATATTTATGGTTTTTGTTAGTAGTCGATAATTATTTACGGAATTTTCCTGAGGCCTAGAAAATTGACAAACGTATTCTGTGGAATTAACTTTCTTCGAAAACCCCCGAGAGAAATCCAGGAAAGTACTCAGCATACCTTCCCAGTTAATAAATATCCTAACAATTTAAGAATCTTATTCCTCAAGATCACCTACTATGAATATCTTTGTTTCTTGTACATATATAACAATCTTCGAAGTAAAGCTGTCTCCTCATAATCTTCCATCTTTCTTCTGTTCGCCGTTTAAGAGTCAGAGTTTTTGAAATAATATGGTTAGTGTTTAAAGCATCCATATAACAAAACCTACCAGTTACTTACACATTATCATCCTTATTATAAATTGAAAGAACGTTTTACACTCAGTTATATTATATATTGTGAAAATCTTACAACATACACACTATTTGATGAATAATTTAGTAGAGAATAAGATGGTGATTGGAGGTAGTAAACAGGAAACCCTGGACCAAAGTTTCGTGCTACTTGGCACTCGTCAACAAGGTGTACCTATAATCTTGAGGGGATTGATGCTTCCTGACGGATTCGATCCCGTGTATTTATGATTGACTGATCACTTGGTGGTGATCACCGTCATCTCAGTCTTACAGATCAGTCGCGGACCAGATAACCCAGTGGTAACGTCTCTGGGTGACACGGGATCTCATCCGCCAGGGTGCATCAGTTCCATCAAGGTTATAGATACACCTTGTTGACGAGTGCCAAGTAGCATAAAACCTAAGTCCAGGGTTTCCTGTCGACTACCCCAACATATTGCATGTAATGTCGAGTCACCTAGACTAGTGGCCACATTTCAACTTGGTTGATAGGGTTCGATCTGCACTAAAAAGGACCTGATATACATGACATTGATTACCACCCAGAGATAAATCAATTGCAAAGAGAGACCATATATATAACAAAGATAAATATAACTGTCTAGTCAATTCCTATATAAAAAACAAAATTATGTAATGTACATTTGGGCAGACTGCTCACTTAATATTTATCCAGCTCACACCTTCCACTTAAGAAGAGAAGAAAACAATTGATGAAAACAAGATGAACAGTGTTCTGAAGACAAAATTGTCCTGAAGTTTGAATACATATTTAAAACAAGAATATTACTGATATACTCTATATATGGCTACTATAATCATATCAGAATAAATGATGTGCACAAAATTATTTTTATATATGAACCGAAGAAAAAGAGGGAGTAGCAATGATGATATAAAGTATATGGTATAGTTAGTCAACCAATAGGATATAAAGTAGTTAACCAATGAACAACTGAGATATGAACAAGAAAGAAAAAAATAGTGCTAATACAGAAATATAAACAATATGAAGGAATGATAATGTTGGTATAAAATGTTAGGAATGTTTAGAGTGATAGATGAATATTTAACATATTGGTGATTTATATACATGTGTAAACAAGCTGAATGTGCGTATATATGTGTAGAAAGAGAAAGAGGGGGAGGGAGGGAGGGAGGGAGATATATAAAAATCATTTGTGTATGAACTTATAACATGTATGTTTTACTTTATGTTTGAAAAGAGGTAAACAGTACTAGAAATCATCCAAAACACATCATTATCAGTTAGTCAGTAACAACGTAGAACTTCGTACGTTCGTACATCAGTTCAGATTGCCTTACAACATTAGCATAGAGATACAATTGTCGATTCAAATCCCATAGTGGTAGAGGTAGTAAGAGTATAAGCAGTTATCGGAAAAATCAGGGTTTGATGATGTTATTCAAGGAGTATGATCCAGTGAAATAAATTTGGAAAGAGAAAAAAAAGAAAGGGATATAAAGAATTCAGATGATTAAAATTTTGGAGAACACAAAGATTGGATGCGCCTGAGCCATTACAAACGATTTTGAACCGTGTTACATTCAAGATCTCTAACCATCGGTTACTATCATCTCATGGATCCCAACATCATTATAAACTATTACAAATATGAGAATATATGATATATTAATTTTCCAGATTAGAAAAACAAAAGAAATCAAGAAATTATGAAGATAAACGATATAGATATGTTTCTAGACAACGGAGCTTGAGAGTGGAATTCATCCTTCATTAAAGTAAATAGATGTCCATTGTTAACAGATGATGAATTAATGTGAGTTTGATGAGATGAGAGCTTTAAAGAATATGAATCTATTTTGATATTTTACATAAGAATCACAGTATTATATGATTGACCAAGATACTGTACAATATTACATAATACTACATTTAGCATTTGTTGAAGTATTTGTACTTGTTGCTACAGTAGTAGGAGTAATAGGAATAGTATTAGATACATCTGAATGCAACGTTGTTGAACAATTTACACCACGACGTTGTAAAGGTGAAGTGATACGTGGTCCAGTTTGTATTGAGGGAAGATGTGATGTTGTAGCATGTCCTGATTTATTATGTGGAAATGATCCAGTTTGACAACTATACATTAAACGTGAATTGATCATTTTTGTATTTGCATGCAACTCTGGATGACATTGAAGTGAACCACTGAAGGGTGCATATTTTGTAGGATTCTTACTGGATGGTTTTGTGGTTGAATAAATACTGTTAGTGTTGATATTAGTCACTATATCATTGCTTTTAGATTCATATTTACAAAGTGGCAAATATTTTGGAGCACTTGTTGGTTGTATTTGTTTTGCTCCTGGAACATTATCTTCTTCTTCTGCAGCTATTTCATCATCGTCATCGTCATCGTCTTCCTGCTCATCCGCTTCTTTTTCTTTTTTTACAGCATTATTACTATTTGTAGTACCATTGGACGTGATTATCTGAGTTGATTTTCCTGAAATTTTGTGCAGCTGTTGTGTATCGTTTGAATAGCATTGTTGTTGATAATGATGATTAGGTAAGTGAGCAGTACGTTTATCGTTTGCGATCCCTTGAGTTGATACATGATTAGACGATTGATGCATCACAGGCTTTTGTCGATAGTCTGCACTAAAATCATGGAAATCATTCAATTCCGGTTGAATCTGTAATGGAATATTATGTACGACAATATCTTCAGGAATTCGATTAGGTGCAGTCAAATGACCGAAACCAATACGTCTTAAACGTCCAGCAGACATAGCGCCACGTAAACTATACAAGAATAAAAGTAAAACAAAGTTTGAAAAGGATTAAATAGAAAAATATAAGCAAAACTGCATGTTGCAACGTGAAATCTTGTTATAGATCAATGGTTGATTAACTTAGATCGGTCCGTGATGTCAATAAAAGTGAACGATCTCTAATAAACTAAACTGATAAAAATAATGTGATCGAAGAGCTCAACTAAACTAGGAGTAGCATCATTGATGCGAACACCTTTACAGGTTTTTGGATAACTGTGACATATCTATATTCAAATGTCATACATTACTATCACTTTAAAAAATTCCATTCTAGATTAATAAAGTGAATGCGGTGTGGAAACAGCACCTTAGTAGTAAAAGTATTCAACTTTTCGGTTTAAAAATCGTACGTTCAATTTACTCGTCACATACTTCAGTTTTGAGAGGATAATAGAATCATCAATCGTTTCATTAAATCCCCCATACAATTCTTGGATAAGATTAAAGAGATTCAAGTCAACAACGACGAACTAATGATGTTCATCGATGTAACAGCCTTATTCAACTTTGCCTGTAGCTTTTCTAGGACTACTGTCGGTCCCAAGCCCACGCGAAAGAGGAGAGTTAGGCGCATGGGACGGGAACCCCATCACGTAAAAAAACAAGCTTGCTAAAGAAACGCCAACCAGCATAAACAATTCAAACCATTTAAACTCTGCCTTCCAAGTTCAAAAAACAATTATGATACTTCAACATGAAAGCTGAGATTCTTCGGAAGTCACGAGGCTCATTTCCCTTCTAACAACCAGAGCAACAATTTTTATAGGTACATGGAACGTCCAGACAATGTGGGAGACCGGGAAGATCAGTCAAATAGCAACGGAAATGAGAAGATAGAAGTTGGAAGTGCTCAGGGTCAGCGAAACCCATTGAACACAATCTGAACAGCAGAGGCTAGACACGGGAGAGATTCTGCTGTATTCCGGTCACGAAGAGAAAAATGCTCAACACACTCAGAGAGTTGCTCTGATGCTGCCCAAAGAGGCACAAATGCACTTATATGACGGTAATATCATAGATCCAGCGAGGGAATTACACTGAATTTCATCCATTGTTATGCACTCACCAACCATAGCAATAGTGACGATAGAGATCAATTCTATAAGTGGCTGCAATCAGCCATACCGGAGCGCGCAGGAAAGGACCTGACAATCCTGATGGGAGATCTAAACGCCAAAGTCGGAATGGATAACAACGGTTATTAAGATATCATGGGACGACATGAACTAACTGGGAGAAAGGAAAGATAATGGTGAGAGATTTGCAAAGCAATGTGCATTCAACAAATTGGTTATAGGCTGCACAATATTTACACACAAACGCATACACAAAGCTACATAGATCCCACCGGATCATACCACGGAGAACCAGATATATCATATTTGCATCAGTAAGAAAAATCACAAGGTCAACGGAAGACATGAAAACCAAGAGGAGCTGATATAGCTGTGACCTAGATGAAACTGAAGCTAAAGAATCACCGGACAACTGGACAAACAGCATTACAAAGGTTCAATACAGCCTTGCTTCGATATACTGACAAAATTAACCAATCCAAGATAACTCTCAAAAACAGGTTCCAAGCCTAACAGGATCTACTGAAAGAAGAAACTGTTGTGGAGGACAACTGGAAAGAGATCGAAGAAGCATTAACTTCAACGTGTCAGGAGGTTCTGGGCTGCAAGAAGCACCATCATAAGGAATGGATCTCTATCGAAACCCTGGATAAGATTCAAGAAAGGAAGAATAAAAGACAGTAATTAACAGTCGAACAAGAACAGAGAAAGTCAAGGCACAAACTGAGTACATTGAAGCAAACAAGCAAGCGAAGAAGAACATTAGAGCCGACAAGCAGAAATACGTGGAATACCTAGCAACGGCAGCGAAAAAAGCTTCAAGAGGAGGAAATATGAAACAGCTATATGACTCGACGAAGGTGGTAGGAAAATCTAGCAAACCAGAGAAATCGGTCAAGGACAAAGAAGGCAAGCCAATAATAACAGAGGAGCACATGAGTGGAACACTTTGAGGAACTCATGAATAAACCAGCTCCATTGAAACCACCAGATATCGAAGCAGCACCTACGGACTTTTCTTTAGATGTCACTCCACTAACGATCGAAGAAATTAAGATGTCCATCATAAAATTCAAGAGTTGGAAAGCGGCTGGACACGACAATATACCAGCCGAAGCACTAAAGTAATATATAGAAGTAACTGCAAGTATTCTTCACGTTCTATTCAGGAAGATTTGGGAGGAAAAACAAGTGCCCACGGACCGGAAAGAAGGATGCCTTTTCAAGATACCGAAGAAAGGAGATCTCGGCAAATGTGAGAACCAGAGAGGCATCACATTACTGTAAATACAAGGAGAGGGTTTCAACAGACTGTTGCTGAACAGAATGAAAGACTCGATGGACGCCCAGCTTCGATCAAGAAACCAGATTCCGTAAGTATCGGGCATGCACAGAACAAATCGCGACACAATGGACCAACTTTGAAAAATCAATTAGATTTGATTCGTCACTACACATCAACTTCCTTGATTATGAGAAAGAATTTGACAGTATGGAGACCATGATGGAAACTTCCTCGACACTATAGAGTACCTAAGAAGATCGTCAACATCATACAGAATTCATACGACGGAATATAGTGCAAAGTCGTGCATAGAGGACAGATGACAGACGCATTTCAAGTAAGGACCGAAGTCAGAAAAGGCTGCCTACTTTTCCTCTTTCTCTTTCTTCTGGTGGTTGACTGAATTATGAAGACCTCCACATCTGACGGGAAGCATGGAATAAAGTGGACAGTTTGGATGCAACTAGATGATTAGGATTTCGCAGATGATTTGGTCCTTCTATCCCATACACATCAATAAATGCAGGTCAAGACAAACAGTGCAGCAGCAGTCTCTCAAAATCTTCAATACGAACGTCAACACAGTTAGTTACATTGTAGGGATCTGAAACGTGGAGAACTACAACCATCATCAACAATGTACAAGTATTTATAAATAGTTGTCTACGCGGGATACTCAATATCGGTTGACCGGATGAAATCATCACCAGCCTACTGTGAAAGTGAACAAACAAATTTCCAGCTGAAGAGAAAATTAGGAAAAGATGTTGGGAGTGTATAGGACACAAATTGAGGGAATTATCAAGCTGCATCACGAGACAAGCACTAACTTGAGATCCTGAATTGAAATGGGAAAGAAGAAGGCCAAATAATACAGTGAGCTGAGAATTGGAAGTAGACATGAAAAAGATGAATAGCAACTGGAAGCAAGTAGGAAAGATTGTCGAGGACAGAGTTTGATGGAGAATGCTGGTGACCGACCTATGCTTCTTGACGAGGGGTAACAGACGTAGGTAAGTAACAGCTTTATTCTCCTCAACTGAACCAAGCTTAGCAAAGGAAACTCTATCCGTGCTTCTCACGAACGACACAAATGCCCTAAAGTACAGGAAGCTTCGGAGATAAAGTTTACTAAAACCCATCGATTTATGCTTAACAACATACTTCCAATTCTGCAATGAAATCTACGAACAAATGAAAGGAACGCCAGAGGAATTACCAATACCAGGACTTATTGTAGAAGTAGTGATGAAGAGACTGAAAGCCTCGATCTTACCAGTGATCAAGCCAAAAATGTGGATTCGCCATGTGGGCGATATAATCGTTACCATTTAAACGGACCAGCTGAAAATCATCTACAATCTGATTAACGTCTTTGATGACATAAAATCCACAATGGGAAAGTAGTTGAACAACAAACTAACAGTTTTGGATGTACTAATCACCGGAACCAACATAGGAAAACTGGAGACTTAAATGCATCGGAAGCCTACCCACACGGACCAAATTCTCAATTACAGTAGCAACAACCCAAGAAATCACAAGACCAACTGCGTAAAAACTTGTCCAAGGAAGCGAGAACACACTGCGGCACGCTTGCAGCGCGTAAAAACATCTAATGACTATCCTTCGAAAGAACAGCTACCTATGAAACTTTATCGAAAAAAAATCAACCCAACACATCAGCAGAAACGAAAAAACAACGAAACGATTATCCGATCATATACAAAAGACATCAAAAGTTATACAGAGACTAATGGGGCCGTTTGGAATAGATTTATCACACAAACAAGCGAAACCACTCCAATCAATCCGTAGCAAATCAAAGGACGAAATGACAAAAGAATAAAACCGAACATCATTTACAGAACAGCCCCCAAAAGCCCTGATACGGCCGAGGGTGAGGAGAATCCGCTCTCCCACTCGAAGTGCTCTCACATGGCCACGCGTATACAGCCATTGACAGGGAAGTCCTACTCATTTCTTCACAGCATTATTGTTTAGGAAATTAAGAGTAAGAAAAGGGAGTTGGTGGACACGGAGCATCAACCTAGGGGAGTTGGGAAACCCTGATTCCAAACCAATGGTGCACATGGGTTCCGGGATCCTGACGGAACAAATGGTGTATGAACCAATTATTGGTCACCGGCTACCATGAGACTGTAACTCCTGACGCTGTCCACTACCTTGTGGATCAGACCATGTGTTAAAATAAATAAATAAATACCAGACGGGTTTTGTGGATACTATAGTAATTTCAATGGTTAAGATCATGAGTCAGTTGAAGCTAGACCACCATTGAAAACCTGGAAGCACTGGACGGCCGTTTCGTCCCATTGTGGGACTCCTCAGCAGTGCGCATCCACGGCCTCGCCCCCTGCGAGATCCGAACCCACGACCTACTTCTTCCGCGCGCGAGCACTTAAACACTAGACCACTGAGCCGGATGTGGATGTGTCACTCGATTTCGTGGATTAGTTGAAGTTAGACATTAACACCGTTGGATTCCGGCTAAGTGGTCTAGTGGTTAAGTGCTCGCGCGCGAAACAAGTAGGTCGTGGCTTCGAATCTCGCAGGGGACAAGGTCGTGGATGTGCACTGCTGAGGAGTCCCACAATGGGACGAAACGGCCGTCCAGTGCTTCCAGGTTTTCAGTGGTGGTCTAGCTTCAACTGACTCATGATCTTAACCACTGAAAATAAATAAATAATAAACAAATAAACATCTACAGAACAAACTGTTCCGATCCCGAAAAACACTACATCGGAAAAAGTGAACGTCCCCTTCACCTTCGCCTGAACAAACATCAATTATTTATTTATTTGAACACAAATACTGGTACAAGGGGGCACCAGATACACATGCGTCACACTTCATTCGATTTGTTTTGGAGCTGAGATACTGGCCAGGTACCCAAATCGAAGCAGGTGGTTTTCTTAGGGGGCCACATCAGGAGCCTTCGACCTAAAGGTCTGATCCACAAGGCAGTGGAGCATCGTAAAGAGATGCAGTCACATGGTAGCCGGTGACCAATGATTGGTTCATATGCCATTTGTTCCCTCAGCATACTGGAGCCCTTGTGCACCATTGGTTTGGAATCAGGGTTTCCCAACTCCACCAGCCCGGTTAAAGCGCCGGATATTCGCTTTTCGTCCTCGCAATTTCGTAAACAACACCCTCACCACGAGGAGGCAGTGAGTAGGACTTCCCTGGCAGAGGCTATGTACGCGTGGCCGTGTGAGAGCATTTCGAGATGGAGAGCGGACTCTCCCCACTCTCGGCCGTATCAGGGCATTTGGGGGCTAACAAACATCAATTAACGGTCAAACGCCATGACATATCCTCGCTTATATCAATGCATGTGGACACATATTCGACTGGAAAAATGTTGAGATCTTGGATGGAGGAAATACTAAAAACACTAGAGAATTTTTAGAAGCTTGGCACTCAGGTTAATCAGGAATCAATAAACACATCGAAATCAACCCAGCCTATCAACAAGTTGGAAAATCATGGACAAATATAGGACCAAGAATCAAATCAAAGGGAGATACAGTTAAAATAACGCCAAGTTAAAGGTCAACAACAACCAATCAAGATCGAGGTCGACAGGACAAGCTGTGAGTCATATGTGGAAAAATTCAAACACTTCACTTCAACCTGAAGTTCGTACTAATAATGTTGTTCAGAAGAACAGTGAAAGCTCTACGGCTGAACCATCCAGATCAGAGAACAAAATTCCACGTAAACCACTAGTCCTCATAAAAAAATGCTTCTGAAGTCTGACTAAATAAACTTTTATTTTGTAGATGAGTTGTATTATAATTATGGATAGTATTACCAGGTACAATAAAAAGGCAACCAGTAAACCGACAAGCAAATTATGAGATTGGATTTACGAGATTATGGAAATAAACAATTAAGAGTAAAAAAATCTACTTACCCGTGTCTTCGATGACGACTTGATAAGTTATCTGTCCAATTATCTCGTAAACTATCCTCACAGACACTCGGTGCCACATACGAAAAGCCCTGGTAGGACAAATAGAGATGAGTAGATGGATGTGTGGATGTTTTTTGTGTATATGCATGTTTATTTATGTCAGATTACCATCACTAAAGAATTTAGAAATTAAGTAAAAATATTAATTAAAATTGTAAATCACTACGTGATGCATATACAGTAGTTTGATTTCTCAATGGATGGCGTTGTTTAAAGCCTTTTGTTTTTGTTAGCTCCTGATAAGCATAATGAATGGTAACTTTGGAATCCATTTATGGACCAGTACTAAACGTATACTTTTATCGTATAATTGTTAAATAACTAAACTATTCATATTCATATTCCTCTTATTATAAGCTTTATTTTGACCTATGGACTATTATTATAAGACTTATCATTCTTGAATTATGCCGTCTATTAGTCACTGCCTCCCACATTCACAGCCACATTTGGCCAAATCTTGTATAAACGTTGTTTTCTACGAACCAATTCTTTCTTCTTGTATTATATCTCTATATGCAATCTTTCTCTTATATATTACCACCTTTGACATAACCACTGCTATGAATCCGGTGTTCATCTTGTTGTGCTGATGCGGTATGGCAACCTGGACCGATGCACATATGTGCCTGGTCCTACGTTGTAGCTGACTGACTGACTTTTCTATTTTATGGTACGCTGTGATCTGTTTGATTGGTATATGAACTCAGTATGTTTGAAATATAATGATTCATATTGCAGAGACTGAGATTGGTGTTCTGAACTTAACTGGCTGGAGTAGGCATGAATCAGAACCTATAAGTACTTTAGACTGCTCATACGGGTTTACACGTTATTGATCCGATCGATAAGTCATTGCACATTAATTGGCGGTCACAAGTATAACAGTTTTATAGTGTTCATCTGTGATTTGGAGAAATGAATATTTCATTAATACATTTAAGTATATGTGGTTAAGACTGTGAAGATGTGGTCTTAATCATAGGAAATATCAGTGAACTATGATAAAATATATAAACATATTGAATGAGATGTTCGAAACAAGTGTGTTTTGATTTGTTGAAAATAATACATAGTTTACAGACCGATTATGGTCCAGTTATCATAAGACACACTAACTCTGAATAGGGGACAATAAAGCATACATTTTTCTCTAAAATGATGATTTTAATGAGCTACGGTTGAACAGCTAGAGCTGGTTTAACGCACACTTTGGTCTCATGGTTTTGGTACTAGTGAGTGGAAACGCCACAAACTGAAGAGTGGTGAAACAGTGAAGTCAGATTAAGTATCTTTTAGCTATTTGATAAATGGCGAACGAACCGTATGATTTCTTAGTATTATTAACCCATAGTTAAGTAAACTCATTTGTTATTACCTCAACGGACGACAAAAAGTGGACAGTAGTTACACAAGAGCAACAACCTAATGTTACAATCTACAACTTGCTCATCAGAGGTCGGATAAAAGTAGTGTATTGTAACGAAAACCAGTGCTAGTGATTTCGCTGTAGTTCAACTGACTTTTTACCACCAGCTGCTATTTAGTATTGGATTTCCCTTAAATAATTTTTAACTAGCAATAATACTGAGTATAGTGAAATTAGTTTATGACTATGTATGACACTAATTAATGGATTACCTTGGGGATTTATATCAACTAGTAGAATTCCTTTCTTTTATGCATAATCATCGATTACCAGCCCCATTAGAATGCTTTTACGCTATACGTTGAATTCTTAATGGCTACAACTGATTCACATCATTGGTACCACAAAATGGAAAACAACAAACTAGGCTTAGTTGAAACTAAAAAGTAAGTAAAGCTTTTACACACTCATGAATCAAAAGAAATCTCTGAATAGGGTGATTTAAGTCGATACAATCAAACGATCAGATGTGGGTTCCTGACATGTTAGGAAAGACTTTTTGACTGCTAACTTTTAGTAATGTCCTGCCTTAGCAAAGAAGTACATTTAATGTTATAGTGTCTTATATCATAACAAATTAGTGGTCACTTAAAGACTTGTTCTTTTTGAAAATCTTATTCACAGAAGTATTCATTACAACTTATTGTGAGTTTAACCATCAACTTTTAATTAATGAAAAACTAACTTGGAACATATCCGGAGGAATGGATGCACCACCATCGACAGGACTAACAACTGGTTGTAAACGGGTAAACGATGGGTCAAACATCGACACATCATTCTCAGCAGTTAGTTTAGGACGAAAAGGTGGTTTCAAACGTCGGTTATAGACATCAGACCAATTTATTTCCTAAAAAATAAATAACCTTGCAATATACCACTTTAAGGCCTGTTTTCAACTGTATATAAGACTTGTAAAGTTGGATTACACAATCAGTAGCAAAACCTTACAACCATATGCAATTTAGTACATTAAATTGTCAACTTATTTAAAATACAAAAACTAGGCTACCAATTGAGTTAACTAAACCAAAGTATGTAATTTCAAGTTTACAACTTCAACTTTAAGGGTATGCTATGGAATGATACCGAATATAAAAGCACTGCATGCTTAAACCAAAAGTTGGGCACAAACGTGGTGGCAGCCGTGTTACATGTACTCTAGAATATCTAACCAAACGGTTGTATATCGTCTTCATTGTTTGCCCCATGAGGGGTCAAAATATTCCTACATACTTGACTTTCGGAACCTTAGACAATAGTTTTCCGTCTCGTCTCCTAATTTGACCTGCTTAAAATACATTTTTCTGTAACACCTAGTATTTCGAATTTCGCTTTCAAACCACTGAAAAACATTGGAGAAACAGTATTTGTCGTCTAATGATACAAAGTTATACAGGATAGTTCCGTACTGGTCAGGTTTTGTTATTAAAACGTACAATCAGTATATGAAAAATTTATCTCTTACACTTTGCGGTTGAAGTAATTTTATGTGAAACTCCAAGAAAGAAAGCGTCACAACTACTGCCCCATAATCTTTAATGTAGCTATCTATAGGGAAAACAAAGCCAGATTAGCTTTCTGGCTGTCGCTGTTCTTAGATGAAGAATCATCGAACGTGCGTTAGTAGCTTTTATAAAATTTCATTAATTAAGCATTCAACTACTACCCATTAACCGAAAATGGTAATTAGTCAGATGAGCAATAGGTTAAGTGGTTAAAATAAATGAAACCCAACTATCGGGTTTCATGTTCGAATCCAATTTCATTTACTACAATTCGGGCAGTAGGGTAGTATTGCTTACAGTTACACATGCGTACTAAGGCTACAAGAATACAATGTAAACTTGCACTAGTTATTTGTTAAATTATATCATCACTGAGAAATTGGAAAGTGTCTTACATCTAGTTGAAAACAATGACAATTAGGTTGATATATGCTAGATGACCTGGTTGCTTTAATGCAGATGAACTATGGAAAGCATCAGTATAGACTAAAACCCACCTTACAAATGAAATACGTACACTTGACTTTTACATATATTAATACATATTAATAAAAAAGACTAAAGAAATGTAAGGTTGAGTCGATATAGAGGTTTGTGGCAGATTTAGTTAGGTAACTGAAGTGGATGAACGTTCTTTCAAAAGCTAACGTACAGCGTTAATTCCAGTCTCAGTTGTAAACAACTGGTCAGAAAAATTCGATAGTTACAAATTGAAAGATTTTAGAAACAAATTATCTATTATACATTTTAGAAGACTCACATGTCTTTTGAAAAATTTGTGCCGTTTAATTTCCTCCATATCTTCTTTGCTTCCTAGTCTTTCATTTGGGTCACGTTTCAACAAGCCACGTATGAGACTGGTAACTTCTGATGAGAATGATGGTGGAAATTTTAAAGGAGCTGTGAGTATCTACAACAAATAATCGATCTAAATTAATGCTTACTTTGCGTGTGGTAGCTTCACGACTTTCCTCCTGGCTAAATGGTGGCTACATTATTAGTCACATTAAGTAAAAGAACTTACCGCGCCAGATAGCATATCGTAGATTAAAGTCCCAAGACTCCACCAATCTACTGCTTTTCCATGACTTCACATCGGATTATTTCAGGGGCCCTGAACCATGAGGAAAGATTTGAACTTACATATACTCAATCGTTCCGCAGAATGTATTGGTAGTGCACACACCCTCTTTTGAAAGCCCAAAGTCAGTAAGCTTTACGTGACCCTGGCGGTCCAACAACACATTTTCAGACTTTAAATCCCTGTAGATTATACCCAACGAATGCAGATGTCCAATGGCTAGAACAATTTCAGAAGCGTAAAAACTATTTCCAACATAGAGCTGAACGTATTTCTTACCACGCAGCATTTTCTAACAAAGCTCCTTCACGTTCCAAGTAGTTAAACAGTTCTCCTCCGTGGCAATATTCTAGCACAATGTACAAGTTGGAGTGATTTTGAAAAGCATAATGAAGTTTCACCAGGAAAGGGTGCTAAGACTATTAAACAAATGAAATTGGTACCTGTAACATTTCAAGGATATTCCTTTCAGAAACAGTGTGTGCCTTATCCTTTTCATTGCACACTAGTCTGGCCTTCTTTAAAACCTTCATGGCATAGAGTTTTCCTTGATCAATGCCATCAACCTTCTGAACTAGAAAAACCTGCACACTAAGGCAGAGAAGCTCCACGAACCTTTCCGTAGCCTCCTTTGCCAATGACACGTTGAATTTTGAAGTTTTCAGCATTAACACGATTATTCGGATTGACAGTCTTCTGACAAATCTCGACAGTTTCTTGAGTCGTTATCTCTCTGAAACCCGAATGACAAGTTTTAAAGAGACTCACTCTTTTTTCTCCGAACAGATCCATTCCTTTGACTGTTATGAAAAGTAAGAACTGGAAATATGACTTACCGATTGATCTGAAGACTTGGTATTATTTTTCTCCGGAGACGATAAGTCGGATCTTTCTGCTTCATCGTCTCTACACTCATCATCATTTTCAAGTTCAGCAGATAAAAAGTCAATCTCTGCCATCCACTACAAGAGGGAAAACTGAAGAGCTGCTCAGTGACAAATGCACATCTTCAAACACGCGCTATTAGTAGAATTAAGCGGCAGTTGCGTATCGATTTATTTATGACGGCAGCTAGACACCAATTATTTGGTCATTTTTAATGAGCAATCGATTCGTATTTGAAAAATCAGACAACTCGCGTTTTTATTTTGCCTTTATTTTGTTGCGTGATATTTGTCATTTTTTCAATATGATGGTTTCAACGCTTGGCAGAATTTGTGAACTGTTTGCCCTTTGGATTCTGTATTTTGGTAGTTAAGGTGCGTTCTTCCTGTAAATTTTAACGTCCAAGTTCACGAATCGGTTTTAAATCTACAGGCGGCAAACGGAAAGCCTATCGCCACATACGGTAAAAGGCACGTTTACCTGAACGTGGGTTTACGCAAACCCATTCACTGGATCTTCGTTGCTGCAGATGTTTCTATACCAATTATTGGTATAGACCTTTGTTATAATCTCTTTCTTATGGTTATGACCCCAGCTATTCCTATTGCTTAGTATTCTTGGACACCAAATCACTCGACATGACCCCAAATCAGAACACGGTTGAACAGGAAAGAGATTATATTCCAAATAACAAGATGAGATGGAAGTAAGAAGCACAGTAGAGAAAACGTTAGTATATTTATAGTTTTTACATGAGAAGATTCTAGAGTATTCTCAAACTATCGACTTATTATTTATTTATTTGAACACATGAATATTGGTACAAGAGAGCGCCAATATATATGATGATGTCACAGGTATTCAGAGTTTGACAACGCTTCTACCAGTAACGCCTTCTAATATATTTCGTTCCCACCAAGAGAAATCAAAAGACAGAGTCGAGGAGATCGGGAGAGTGTATTTGGCGATTACCAATATATCGGAATTCTCTGATCTAATCTGGCTAGCGATTGCGGTTGATGTTGATCACGGCGTTACCACACGTGATCTGGTGCGGATGCCTGACCGAGCGTCTTCAGCTAGATGAGTCCACTAAAACATATGGTCAGCATCCAATGTCGAAAACTTACAGGGCTATTTATTTTGGGGATTTAATTACCGCTACAGATCACTCCCCCCCCCTAGTGGGGCAGTGACGACCCTAAGACGTGGCCAGCCAGAAATTTAAACCCAACGAGTTTGTCGTTGGTAAACACTCTTCTGATAGCTTGCTAGGATTAGAAGCGTCTGGTCGTCTTTCTTTACTATATGGGACCGAGGTACAACATAGTAAAAAAAGAAAATTTCAATTCCTCATAAACGTCATCGTGTTTTCCAGCCGTCCTGGAAAAGAAAAAAGAAAATGTAAGTGCATGTCGAAATACACTCGTATGTGCGTAAAAACACAATGTCGGCCAAAAAATTGGAATCTAAACTAATTTACACGTAATATCGTTAAAAAAATTTGTTCTTTTTTGTTTTTGTTTTTTTGGAATAAGGAAAATATAAAATATATAAGCATATTAAAATTTTTTTTAAAAAAATATATGTCGTTAAAAGAAAGATCGAGATAATATTAAATGTCTAGTAGTGCCTTACGTGCAATAGTCGTTTAAATGCTCTGGAAATCTAACTCTTCTTCCAGGACGCGTCGTTTTAAGTTTATTTTCAGATACATTTGGAGTATCATCGCTAGTGTTGGTTTCGGTTGAGGATTTATGAATGGAGTAGTGCCGTTCGATTGTACCAAAGGAAAGTCGATGTGAATAGGATTTCCTTCTAAATACGCTGCTTTTAAGCGATCGATGCTGATGCTATCGTTTGTTCCGTTCTTATCGATTATATAGTACTTCAGTTCGCGTTGAAGAACTTTGAAAGGTCCTTCGTATGCTGATTCGAAAGGTCGTCGATGTGAGTCTCGACGAACGAAAACGTGTGTATTATATCGTAAGTCAGGTTGCACGAAAACGTCGGTTGATTGTGGTCGAGTGGAAGCAGGTTTAACTGAACGCACTGCGTTTCTAAGCCTATTCGTGTAGGAGGTTAGATCCATGTTCATTGAAGAGGACGAAGGATCAACAAATTCTCCTGGAAGTTGAAGTGTCGTTCCATAAACGAGTTGCGCCGCAGTGTATCTGTAGTCGCATTGAACAATAGCCACACAATCCACAAAGCTGTGAACACGAGACTACTCAGAAAATAGATATTCAATATTTAACGCGGAGAAATACCTAACAATGGAGAAGGCGTGAACAATGAATCGAATGAATTATAGTTGATCGAGTGGCATGGCTCGGCCATGCAGGCGTGGTCTCTGCTGAATGTTACCTTATATCTTCTATTCATATTAAATATATTGTTCTTCCTCTAGCCTAACCGTGTTCTACATCATGTATTGGTAATTGATACGATACAGTGAGTTGGTGTAGTCGATGGTGTGACTTCCACGTAAGATCTTATAGATTAGGCAGTTATATCATGACAAATCTACAAATTTAGGATTAGGTCTATTATTAGAGCAGTACTAATATCATAGTACACCATAATTCTACATTGGTGAGCCCAACTAAAGAAGCGCAACCTATTATTGTTAATCCTTATTTCCACCTTCACCTTCTCAATCGGTTTTTTTATTTATGTAAACCCAGTATTCTAACAGTCCTTTGATTAATGCTCACATGTATTATCGTAATGTTATATTGATTAGTTCTCATGACATACTAGATCAATCGATAATAAAAACTGGTCGTCTATATAAACTAATTAGCTTTGATGGTTCGTTAACAAGCTATAATAGCATTTACATGCTTCAGCGACATAGACTTGTTTAAACATCAAGCTCTAGCAAATATGACCTGTTAATAGCGTAAATATACATTGACTAACAATGCAATCAAGGACTAAATAGTTATCTGGATCTTATTCTCAGTGTTCCTTCACTTAACACCTCATCCTGTTTTAAACTATGCACTATCCTGTAATATCTTTTCTTCCGACCACTGCCTGCCTAATTTCAAATTCTCGAGTTCCATTGCCAAACAACAAGGATGACACTTCTCCAAAAACATACGGTGAGTTCCAGCTATAAGTTTTCTGCAATCATAAGTTCATTTTAGATGGCTCATTCAATGGCACACACAATTATCTGGATTCATTCATTGTTCTGATCAGAGCGAGTGGCAAAAACGTCAACAGCATCAAGCACCCTGGAATTAATTGCCATACTGCATGTTTTATTCTGGATACTTTTGGATCATTACTACTCCTCACGAATGGCGTTATATATGTCGTCCACTGAATAATCTAATTTTCAAAAATAATCCAGGCGAGTTCAACTATTTTACTTAATGATTTTTTGTACTTAACATGTGTATATTTTCCAGTTGCTTTTGCTATATATTTGTAAGTGTCCCTAGGCTAAATGCAGTAACTTCTTATGGAATGTTTATAACGCGTCATATTCCTGCCTGAAGTTTCACAAGCAGCCTGGTCATGTTCATTATTTTTTAATTGTCATATACGTCAACAACCTGGTTGTTAACCTGGCCCGCACATACGTTACACTATATCTTCATGTCTTCTAAATTTAGAAATCATCTGAATCGCCTTTAACATTTATCAATAAACCCATCATAGTCGTTGTTGCTAATCGTATTTGGGTTTATGGATTGGTTTATCATATTAGCAGCCTAAAATGCGAACATAGTTTAGATAATAAGATTAAAAATTTAGGTACTATCAACTGCACTAGTAAAATAACTAAATCCCTAGGTAGCTGTTGGCTAAACAAACGTTTAAAATCAAAACTCCGTAGCCTACTAGAATTAACACTAAACGAATCTTTCTGAATTAAAATTTATAATTAAATTAGGCGTCTCGGATTCTTTAACGTTACAAATTTCTGATAATTTCGAATCACCTAAAGCAACAATACCTATTTTTCCACTGACTAATCCTCAATCAACACTATAACTAGTTAAACATAATAGTTTCAGGATATCGTCATAAAGCATTGTCATGACTTGACAATCACGTAATATGATTGATAAAATTAATGAAACTATTAACAAAATCGGTCAGCAAATTGACTTATAATTATCACTAGTGTTGTTTTTCTTTATCTTCATTCACTACAGATGATTACAGTATGTTTCTCTATCAGTTGCTCATTCAGTAAATATCTCAAAACCTTGTCAGTCTAATTGATGGTTTAGCGACACAATCATGCATGCAAATAATCAGTATAAGCAGTCGAGCAAATCTCCTGCAAACTGAAAACATCAATGTCGAATTTACCCCAACACTGACTAAGGTTCAAGCCATTATCATAGACATGAGTTGGGAGTGTACTCCCCTTGGTTACAACTTATGTTCTCCCTGATAATCACATGAGCATCACTCACTATTAATCATCTTGTAAAAACTTATTTAGCCAAATACATCTTGCAGCACCACATCACTTCGTAATATGACACATAGGCTAACTGATTTTAATAACTTATAACCACTATATCTCAATTAAATCGTATTCCGCCTTATGATAAACTGCATACTTGCAACTAACTTGTATGCCCAATCAGCCAGCAAGTATAAATATAAATAAATAGTCTGCCGCAGATCAGAACATTGAGTCTAGAGCATGTCTCTTACGAATACACTCATGTTTAACGATTTGTTCCTAGCTATCTGTCCAAAATTCATATAATTATCACTCACGTATTTAAATTTTGTTTTGATAACCATTCATGTGTATTAGTAGTATTACTAAATTCTATCACGGTCAAGTAAAAATGAGGTTGAGAAAATCTCCCCGTAACTAAATAAACCGTATCAAACTAACTGGAACACTAGTTGGAATTCTTCTCCACGTTATACTTTTGTTCTTTCAGTTAGCCTACTAATACAGATGCAATTGGAAATCACATATGGACAGGTTACCGGCATAATCGTAAATTGATTTCATAATTTAAACCAAAACTAATACCAATATTAACATTTCTAAAATATTCATTATTTTAATATTTCTAAACACAAA